GAGGCGGCTTCCACACCACGGTTCAGAAGGCGAGGAAATCGCGATGTTTCTGCAAATGCTGTTTCGCCTTCCGGTTCCGGTTGGATATCCGCATCCTCGTCATCCAAGAGGTCTCTGCGTCTGCGTATATGGGTAGGCGAGAGAGAGGCGGCTTCGAAACTATCTGCACTAGCGAACTGCCCATCTGCATCTCCGGACGCCGAAAGTTCTTTTCGGCGACCGTTTCTGCTGAGAAAGCGAGACAAAAGTGATGCAGTTTTCTCTGCAAACTGCTGCTCAACTTCGGCTGTGTCATCGGATGCGAGCTCCTTCAGGTCTGCTGGTTCTTCCTGGTCATCATCGGCCGCAACAGCGATCTCTCTTTTGCTTCGCCGCAGCTCGCGCAGCACTGACGCCAGCACCGCCTCCTCGTCCGCCGACAGCGGCTGGCCGCCCAGCACCGACGGCAGCGCCCTCTTCCTACGGCGGCCGATGATCTGCGAGGAGAGCATGTCGCGCTCGATCTCGATCTTCTGCGCCTCGCTCACCAGGCGCTCGCGCTCCGCCTGCGAGCGCCGCGTGTCGGCGCGCAGCATGTCGCGGCTGGCGGACAGCATGTCGCGCTCCCGCTCCAGCTTGCGGCCCTCCTGCTGCGTCGTCTGCGACTGGCGGCGCAGCAGGTCCGCGTTCAGCCGGTTGGTGAGCAGGCGCAGCGCGTTCTCCGAGAACTCAGACAGCTGCGGCCACTCCAGCGCCACGCCCGGCGGCAGGTCGACGGGCAGCGGTGCGGGGGCGGGGCCGGGAGCGGGGACGGGCACCGGAGGCGCTTCCTGGCGGACGGGCGCGGCGACCGAGGCGTTGCTGGCGCCGGCGGAGAGGTTGGCGTTGGCGGCGGTGGCGTTGCTGGGTGGGGACGTGGCTGTGGGAGGGCGGGACCCGCGCCTCGCTCGCGCGACGCGTGTTCGGATCTCCCCGGCCATCAGCTTCAGCGTCTCGTCCACCGCCAGCTCCACGTCCGATGGAACTTCGTAAAATCCTCTTTCTCTACCTCTTCGTCTCTCACTTTCATATTCGTCTTCATCTTCTCCGTCGGCGTCTACGTCGTCAACATCCTTCGTTTCGGCGGGGCCCACCCTGTTGCTCAGCACGTTCTTGTGGATGCCCTTCTCGGGCTCCCCGTCCATGTGCTTCGTGGGCGGAGTCACCGGAGAGTTCGGAATGGACCCGTCGTCGCCGGAGCCTTGCGGGAAAGAGGGCTTGAGAGGGACCTTCTGCGAGGGCCGCTTCCGCCCTGCGATGATCCAGTCTGCAACGGACGGGGCGAGCATAAGAAGCACACCGCTTCCCATTCACCATCGCCCAACCGTCACCAGGGTTATTATATGTTCGCGTCACCATGTTAGCTCGTGCTTGACAGCTCCCGCAGCGTCGCAGGTAGGAATCTGGGCTCTTGCCAGCATGTTAGTTATAGAAACTGGGTTATTTTTCACATTTTCCCCTGAATTAGATGTAAACTTCTCATTCATTTAAACAGAAATGATTTCTGAATTATATTTAGAATACATAAACAAGTGTTCTATTGCATAACAAACACATTAAGTAAAAATATATTACGTTTTCCTGAATCTGATATTACTGTATCAAATAAGTTGTTTTTGTCAAGAAAAATAACAATCTCTTTTGGAGTTTGTTTCTAGCCACAAAGACTTATGATATATAAAATGAAATTCCAAATTTCTGAATTCATGCACGAGATATTGCAAATAAAAGAAATCGACAAAAAGTAAATTAATACATTATACATATAAATCTGTAAATAAATCACCTCGTCACCAAAAGCTTTAGTTCATTAATTCAAAAAACTGTAATTCTCCCCTATTTTGAGAACTTAGGCGCACGACTCTAGCTGCGTTCCACTGCTAATGCACTGTTTGGGATGCCTAGAGCCCGCGGGAGGAGAGTTGTCAAGCGGCGAGCCGACTCAGCGAAGCACGAGGCCCCGCGCCTAAGAAGAGTGCGGCGGGGGAGGGAGGGAGAGAGGGGGAGAGTTAGCGGGCGAAGTTGGCCGCCACCAGCCCGCGAGTTAGAATGCACAGCCACGCCAAGCACGCCACGCCGTCCCGGCGCCGCGCGGTCAGCCGCCGCCCGCCTCCGCCTCCGCCGGAGCCACGGCGCAGTGCGACGCAACTGTAGAGGTGGAAAGGGAAGCAGTGGCGGGGACGGTAGGGGAAAGCGGGGGATGGGGGAGACAGAGGACGGATAGAGGAAGCGGGAAACGGAAGGGCGCAGCGGGGAACGGAAGGGCGCAGCGGGGAACGGAAGGGCGCAGCGGGGAACGGAAGGGCGAAGCGGGGAACGGAACTAGGAAGAAGAACGAGGGGGAAGCGGGGAACGCTAGGGAAGACAGGAAAGCGGGGAGGAAAAGGATGGGGGCGGAAGGATAAGTGGAGTCGGGGAAGGAAGAAAATGCTTAAAAAAAAGAAGGGGCCTCACCGGATAGACAGGAAGAAGTGACGAGCAAAGCTCCGCACAGAGAAAGCAAGACGTATTTTGGGGCTTCCTACTTGTGAAGCACAAGTATGTGCTAGTATAATAGGTTTTGTTTTGCATAAGGAATGTGCTCTTCCAAGAGAATTGCATATTGAGTTTAACTCGAAAATATTCAATGAAAATAACTTAACAGTACATAATAAGAACATTAGGTCAGTGTTCGTTAATCCAACGAGGTTTGTTATTACAATTAAATAGAAGTATTTGAAGTTGTAAGTCTGCCACAAAGTAGTAGCTACTGATGTCATAGTGCACTTCAAAACGAAGTGCTGCATGTCATTTAATAAAAACTTAGGGTGTTTCTGAAATAGCTATTGAAACAAATATTCCACAAAATACATTTACCGCTCTCATTATGTCATGTTATTGATAGGATAGTATTTCACATTACCATAATTAATATAAAACCAATACGAACCGGTGCTATTTTTAGAGTGTTATTAAAGTACTTGATTGCCTATAAAATATACATCCCATAAAATAATTGTTTAAAATGACAAAGCTGACGTTTACTGCGGTTCTAGTAATGTATCTGCACGTGCAAGCGCATGTGCATATTGCATGCGCAAATAAAAAAGAGCTCGCAATCTCTTCAAGCGCGACTGCGATAATGAGAGAACGAGGTAATACAAAACCCAGGCCATAAAGTGCAACGACGGCTGCGGGCGCTGGAGACGTCGAGATAGTGCACCGCCCCGTACGTGCGCAGCTTAGGAAGTTCAGTGTGTGAACCGATGGCACGTGTGAGGCGGCAACGGCAACGGTTCACACGAGGAGGAAATTGCACGAGGAAGGAGATACTTATAGCGTCGTATGAACTGTGGGAGGGAAGAGCTTTGATCGCACACAGCATTGAAGGAAACGAAATGGCGAAAGGATGACGTGTTGGAAGGTGAAAATTTAGAAAGAGACATGAATGGTAAAAGTACCGGAGAGAAGACAGCGTAAATGAGAAATGTCATTCAAAAGGAAGAATAGATTACACAACAATTGAGAGAAGTATAACGAAAAGATTGACTGTCCAACTGTGGTTACAACCAGAAAGAAATACAGTGAACATGTTAGAGGAAAGGAGAGCGACTAGTCGAGGGGGATAAAAATTCCGGTAAGATACAAAAATATTCTGCAAAATAATTTAGGGTTCCTCTCTTTCCTACCATTACATTCCTTCACTTTTAGCACTATTGGCTTTATTGAATTATTTTTTCAAGACCAAGCAACTGCTAGTCTCTCTTCTTGTCCTTTCCTTTCATCTGTACCTTTTGCTTAACCATCCTTTCTAATTTTCATCCGATCTACCATATCACGAGAGGACGGCCAAATTCTGGTGACGAACAAGGAGCACACCCGGGGTGAACTCACAAAGGGAAGGCAGCGCGGGCTCTGACGTCTCCGGAGGAGATGCGCGGAGCGGAGCGCATGTACACACAATTAATCCCGCTACAAGCGCCGCTTTCTCGCCCTCCCCCCGCCTCCCCGTTCCGCCTACGCCACCACCTTGTTACGAAGTTGAGAAACGACGCAAGTTTTCGGATCGCCTCCTCCCCCGGCGCCGCTGCGTCGTAGACAGAGGGTAAGGTCGGAGGGTGGGGGGGCGCTTTGGCAATCGGAGTCGTCGGCGCACGCGGTCACGCCCCAGGATACTCGCCAGACTGCTTCCGTTAATAAACAACCGTTATCGGAGCATCGCGGACGCCGCCACCAGGCGCGCGCGCCCCCGGCAGCAAGTTTAATTGGAGCGCGCGCCCGACGCGGCGACCCACAAACAGAGATCCCTGACAGCCGGCACGGAGCGCGGTGGGCTGGCGCGGATTGGACGGCGTGGGCGTGGCATTGCGGATGACGCGAGGGGATGGACGTGCGCTGGGCGATGGGGGCTGGGCAGCGCAGGGAGATGACGGCATGTGGGCAAGTGCGCGGACGATTGGACGGCGGGTGGCAGTGCGCGGGCGGATTGGAGCGGTAAGGCGTGCGCCGACACGGTGACTTAAGCGGGCGAGCGCGCATGGGAAGGCGCGGACGGCGCGAAGCGCGTGGGCGGTGTGGGCGGCCGTGGCGTGTGTGAGGCGCGTGGGCGGTGCGGATAAGGGAACACTACCAGCAGTAGAATAGGGACGATTGTGACAAGACAGGTGGCAAGGCGCGTGATAATGATCATCCAATCGGGGATTCATTGCGACGTAACAGTTGAGAAAATGCGCCGAGAATGTACTGAGCCGGGACGCGAAATGGTCTCGAAGCGGCGTGTACGCCGAGCAATGTAGAGGAATAATCTGTGGGGAGTACTGGAAGATTATAATGGGTCCAGAGAAACAATTGTATTACTGGAAAATAGGAAATCAGACGGAACAAACCCATTTTCTAATCGAGTAGCAAGTGAGAGAAACACTTTTCTAGAAGTGTTTCAGTAGGGATGAGCCACACTGTTGTAAACGGTGAGTAGGAAAACTTAAGCTGGGACAAACTCTTGCGAAGGAACAAACTCATGTTGAACGCAAACGGGATATGCGATATTATAATGTCAACAACTCTGCTTTACTCTCTCAAAAGCCAGCCTCAGAAATGCCATGTGTTTGCGCCCCATTGTTTCTTTAGAGCCTCGTTCCAGCTCAAAGCAACGCTGAGGGAAAGCATGTTTTCGCTTTGTCCTGGTGAAACGTATAGAGGACGATTCCCGTATCAGAACACACGATAGATAGAGACTAACCGATGAATCGAGTTCATATAACATTAACTGGGAACTAAAAATTCGAAAAACATAAAAATTCATTGGTTACAAGCACAAGCGACAAAAACATTTATTAATGTTCTAAAATTTAACAGCGTTCATTAATTAATTTTTCAAATCATTTACAAACTTATCCCTCAAGTATCCCCGCATTATCAAACTATTCTACGTCTGGATTCAAGCCCATGTGAGTTTTAGCAAGAAGCCATGAGAATGCCGTCAATTCGGTCTGAGCACTGCTTAGCTCGCAGATTTCCAAAGCAAAATCAAAAACCCGAATGGTAAAGTAGAATTCTGAACAATACAGTATCAAGAATTTTGAAAACCTTGAAATCTGAGTCACAAAATAAAAAAGTTTACTTTATATAGCACATTTAAAGCCTTAGTTTCTTTCAGAATTGCCACGCAACTTCGTGAAAACTGCACACCTCAAAGCCAGTGAATCCGAGTCTCCCGGCGGCCGAGCCTGCGGCGCATCGCTCCTGCCAGAAACGCGTCCAGCGCAAACGAAGAACAATCTGCGAATTCCGCCACATGATCAATCCGCCTAGCGCGGCCATCAAGCTATCTCCGGCGCCGCCGCAGATCAGCACGCGTCACGCTCCTCGGCGCAGCATCGCCACCGCGCCTAGGAGAGCAGGCGCCCGACGCACGTCCGACACGAAACGCCACTTCATGCCGGAGTCCCGGCGAGCGCGCATCTCCGCGCACCTTCCTCCTTCGCCCCACGCGTCGACCCGCTTTCGTATGGCAAAACGCCGAGGCCTCCCGGCACTCGGCGCGCGTGCCGGACACCGCTACTTGACTTTTCCGCCCGACGCCCTTGTTTATACAACCGCCCTCACGGGCCGGTGCCGGGGCGGTTTCGCGCCACAGGCCGTGTTTACTTGCCGACCGACACGGGCGTTCCGAGGTGGCGGGGCGCGGAGGATAGGCCTTGGGGAGACAGGAACGGCGAGGCCTAAGGGGATCGGTGACAAGAACGGAAGGACGGAAGACAAGGAATGGCCGGAGGCGCGTAGAAGGAA